ATATATATATATATATATATATGTATATATATGTATGTATGTATGACCAAGATAAGAAAAATCATGAGTAAATTTGATTAAGAATTGATATTTTTCTTATGACATTTGGTTCGTCATATTTTATTAGTCTTATCAGTTAGACGATATGGCATTTGACAGACTAAGATATCAAGGAAAAATATTTTCTTGATCAAAACAAAAGCGATTATAAAGCGTTTATAGACTAAAGGAGAATCATAAAGGACTCCCCCTGAAAAGATGCATGATTAAAAAACATTGATAAAATAGGTAACAGAGCATCATAGAGATATTTATTAAAATAGCAAGCCAAACATAATTGAAAAAATAAAAGAAGAGAAATAACACAAAAGCAAACAACAAAAAAAAAAAAAAAAACATTGAAAATGTTGCTTCTTCTCCCTCATTTGAAAACTGTTAGACAAGTAGTCTCATATAACTTAAGATGGGGGAGGTGAATTAAGTTTTCCAAATTTTCCTCTTATAAAATTTTTCGAATTACTTTCTTATAGATTCAATTTGTTAGATAAATTTATATGTAAAGAATGAAGATGCACACTACTTAAACACAATCAAAGGAATAAATAAAAGAGTAAGGAGAAGGAATTGCAAACTCGTTTTATACTGGTTTGGCCAATCTGCCTACGTATAGTTCTCAAGTCTCCAACTTGAGATTTCACAATTCTTGTAAACCTTACAAGACTTGAATCCTCCAACACCTTGAAACTTCCCTTCCTTGTGTTGAGATTCAAAACCACCCAGGAGAAAAATAGTTTCTCCTTTACAGATTGAATGATAGATTGGGTTTTTCATAATAACTCTCTTGTGTTGAGTTAGATGAAGCAATTCCTAGCAAGGTTTTGAATGAGACAAATATAATACATGTTGTTATTTCTAACAAGTGTGTTAGTGTTTTAGAAGGCAAGTTGAATAATGAAGCATGTGCATGTGCCACTTCCTACACTAGAACCAAGTTAAAAGCTTCAAGCATCAGATGGAAAGATCAAATTAAGCCGAATTGTCTATCATAATAATGAGAATTATCAAGCTTCATACTATACATCCCAAGTCAAACGAAAAGCCAACACAAGTATCAAACAAGGCCAAATAAGGAACAAGACAAAAGTGGGTTAAGTACCGGATGAAGTCTGTACAAAACATCAAACGATCAAAAGATAGACGGAAACTCAACACATACAAGGCAAATCATACTACCAGTCATAGGCCAACCAAGTATCATATGATGGAAAATACAAGATGAAGAAACGCGCCAGACGAAATTAAAGTACTCCATCTTCACTCTAACTAAATGGAAAGAAAAGACAAAGTCTATCTCTTAGATGGAAAATTAAATTCCAGACTCAGACGAAGAATATTGAAAAGCGTCTAAAGTCCAATATTCATAACAAGGAATATTATATATCATCTACACTCATAAGAAGAGCACACGAAGTCATCAATATTGAAAAGAAAGAAGAAAAATCGACGAGCGCGAATCCATAGGTCAAGGTAAAACATACCACAAAAAATCAGACAAAACAAGTCAAATGATGGATAGAGTAAACAAAGCTGAATGATAGATGGAATATGAAATGTGCGCCAGACAAAGATAAATCAAATAGCACTTGAAGATGAGTCAAGGCAAACCTCAGCATAAGGATCACACGAAGAGAAAATAAAGTTGAATATAATAGAATATGAAATGTGCATCAAATGATGATGAGTTAAATATCAGAAAAAAGTGTCAAGGACAACCTAGAGCGCAACATAAGAACACAAATGAAGGCTGGTCAAGATTAGAAGAAAATTGAACAACATATCAGACAAAGGACAACACAGATTGAAAAGCATTCCAGATGAAAACAAAGTCTGTCCATCTATAATGTTGACTAGACCAAAGAAAGTTAAAGCATTAATGATTGATGCTCAGATAAAGATCAGATCTTGAGACGCAAATGGACTACCTAACGCAGACGAAGATTGC